CAGCACACACACACACACACACACACACACACACACACACACACACACACACACACACACACACCATCAGCCCGGTGTTCTATTCCTAGGTTTGAATCTCAATCGCAGCGACACTCAGCTGATCTGCAGCAGGTTGTCATGGTGATTGCTCCATTGCAGGCTTCTAAAACTCAGATTCTTTCTCCTCCTCTGTGGTCCCAACTTTAACCACATGACATTTCACTTCCAGTGAAAACTAACAGACAGCACGCCAACTAAAGTGTGTTTTCATAGGCTAGTCTTATCCAGCCCCCACCCGGGCCCTGCCGAGGCTCCTCGTGTCACCTCTGACCTTCGCTCAGACCGTCTGGGAGCTGAATGCTGACAGCTGTGGCTCGACTCATGATCTAGCCTGCCAGATGTGGTTTGGCTTCAGCTGCTGACACGTCAGACACAAGCTGGGACACTTGCAGCTTAGCAGATCTGTTCTGATCACAAGTAGGCATTATAATATATAAGCACTCCCATGTATCGATTTAAATGTCATATTCCAGAATAGGATCTTTAACATTCCCAGATGGTCCTAGAAAGAACCTGGCGTATAACTCGTTGCGCTGTGGTGACTCCAGTCCTCTTCTGATTTCATCCTGCTGTTTTGTCTGAATGAGGGTAAACATCTGCAGCGCAACATCTGAGCAGCTGTAGAGTAGTGGTGTGTGTGTGTGTGTACAGGGGGAACATCAGCTTTTACAGCTCTGAGGCAGGTGAGCACTAGTAAAACTGGTCTTTATTCTGAATTTAAAAACCCTTCCTGCTCCGGTCTGGAGGCGAGGATTTGTGTTTGAGCCTTTTTGGCTTCAGACAAGAGATCCCTGACTCCAGTCAGGGATCAGTTTCATTGTCTACTTACACACTACCGCCACCTGCTGGCTGCAGGGAGGCATCTGGTGATGAAAAGTGTGTTACCATAACGCACGCACACACACACATTCACGCATGTACACACTCACACACTTTGACTGTTAGAACACACACTCGGTGATAGAAACATTCATCAGACAGCCTGTACTAAAACGTTTATGCAGTAATGGATGTTTGTGTGTGTGTAAAACTTTATTGATGAAAAAGCATAAAACAGTCGTTAGGTTATGGGCCATTCCCATCTGTACCGGGTCGGCCCGGGCCGGGTAGCGTAGGTTGTTTACATATCTGGGTGACCTGGTATTTTTCCGGGCCAACCAAGGCTCATTCTCAGCCCTCTTCTCGAGGGGGTCTGCTTCAGGCCGACCAGGGCCAACACACCCACTGCTGACAGCAAATTCACACCTTCCATTAGAGCAAGCCTCTGATTGGTGGGTAGAATCAGCCCACATGGGCTTAAGACAAGGATGTGTGGAATCAACCGGGCCAGGCTGGGGCCGACTGGGGCTACCCGGCCCGGGCCGACCCGGTACAGATGGGAATGGCCCATAAGTCTCGGTTTGTCTCTCTGGTATTTTCTGAGTCAGACGCTGACACTTTTGAGAAATTCTATTCTACATATTTTTACGTTCATTGTCTAAGTCACGCCCATGTACTTCCGGACCATTCCCGGAAGAACGTAAAAAAAATGAATGCTAGTCAACAGGGCTTGTTTGTCTCTTTCCGAAGTATTTCTCTTATCCGATGGCACCATCTAGTGGTTGACAAGCACATCACACAAATGGCTTCTGGAACCGTTTCTTTTAAGATTGTGACTTCACGTCTCTAGTTCATAAATGTGCTTCTGTAGTCGACAAACGGCTAAAACACGCTGTTTTACGAGTATTATTCTCATGTCATGTTGTTTTCTCAGATATTTATATTTTAGAGACTTGTCCGTGAAAAGTTCATCAACTCTACATCAGCCAAGGTATTCCTTAAATTTGAAGCAAGTAAGCGTTAAGGCTTAGTTCTGGTCGGCGCTCAGCTTTCTATTGCTCGGAGCTCTGTGGGGCGGGGGCGTGCTTAGCAACAACAAACAAAAAAGACGTATTGCTTACATTATATCACAGTACATGATGAGATAATCACTTTTACGGATTTCTGAGAAACCATACAATCATTTCTGAAAGGGGGAAACTCTGGAAAGATACTTTGAGTGCCATGGATTTTACATATGATATCCGTGAATTTTAAAGTCACATTCTAATGAATCAAGAACACACTTATTTTCAAATGGGGGGAAACATTATTTTAGATTTTGTGGGAAAATAAGTCCTGGACTTCAAATGCACATCATGAAAGAGACATCATCAAACCTGACACGGAGAAAAACAGAAGGAAAAGGGCTCAGTAAACTTCAGATCCTTCCTCCAGAAGGAAAGAACCATTTCTCTCCTGAATCCTCCTCTCTTTGTTTATTGTCTGCAGCAGGACGAGGTGAAGGAGTCGGGTTGTCAGCACTCCTTGGCATCAGGACGGAGGAAGAACCTGGAGTTTGAGCCTCTGTCCACCACAGCTCTCATCCTGGAGGATCGACCGGCGTGAGTCCCAATAAAACACCCAGAAGAGAAGATTGTGAGGCCACAATTGAGCGGACAGACTCAGTTTTTCAGATTTCAACTCAGATTATGAAATATCTCAAACCAGGTCTCAGCTGTTGGTTCAAGTGCGTCAGGGTCCCAAACATCTAAGAACAGGAGGGAGAAGTTGTGAAACACTTGCTGTGTAGCTAGGAAGTTAAAACAGTCATCCTCAATCCGTCCTCCAGGAATCTGCCTGCCAAGTCCGTGGAGGAAACCCAGAGACATAAGCTGGAGTATGAGGAGATGGTGGCAGGAGCCAGGAGAAGAGGTAACACACAGCTGTTCATATCCACAAGCTTTAGTAAATCTTCAGGTCTGTAGAACCACAGGCCTCCTCGGTCCCGGTGGTCAGCACCACAGACATATATATGTAGATGCCCCATGGAGTGGTGCTGCCGTAGTGGCCCGCCGCCATCTTGGATGGGTCTCCATTTGCCTCCAATGCATTTCTTTCTACTGAGGAAGGTGCTTACCCAACTAAAACACGTTTTATTATGCTTTTGTACAAAATCAGACGCACAAAATGACAGGACAGTTAAAATATAAATGGAATAACATAAAATAATTAGAATAAATTTAAATAAAAAATCCCAACAGGTAGGCTAGACAAGTCCCAGAAAAGCCCAACATGATCTGTTTTCTATAGTGCACCAGCTGTTGCAACTCTGCGTTGACTCCAGATGGGTTTGGAGAATAAGGAGACACATCCAATATGGCGGAGACGCTGTTACTCTCTCCAGCGCCCAATGGGGCGTCAACATATTCATCTCTATGGTTGTCACGACCGGCTCACAGGTCATTTCCTCGTGGTGTTGCAACCTGAAACCGGTTCTTTTCTCATGTCAGAGATGAAAGAAGCCCAGAAGAAGAAGCGTCAGATGAAGGAGAGACACCGACAGGAGGACATCATCTCAAATGCCATGGTGGTCTGGAACAACGAGATTCTGCCTCACTGGGACACCATGTAGGTCCTTAAGGACCTGGGTCAGCCCATGTTTGTTTCTGCTGCTCAATGTGTGTTTGTGTGTGTGTCTAGGAAGGGAACGAGGCGGGTCAGGGAGCTTTGGTGGCAGGGACTTCCTCCTGGAGTCAGAGGACGAGTGTGGAGCCTCGCAATCAGCAACGAGCTCAACATCACCCCAGGTAAAGTGGGCGGGACTTGTTAAGTCATCGTGTGCTTAAACACTCTTTCCGGAGTATTTCTCTTATCCGATGGCACCATCTAGTGACTGACAAGCACATCACACAAGTAGTTGTTTTTTTTAAGATGGCGACTTCACGTCTCTAGTTTATAAATGTGCTTCTGTAGCCGACAAACAGCTAAAACACGCTGTTTTACAAGTATTATTCTCATGCCATGTCGTGTTCTCATATATTTATATTTTAGAGACTTAGTTGTCGTCAGCTCTGCATCAGCCAAGGTATTCCTTTAATTCGGTGCTCAGCTTCGTATTGCACAGAGCTCTGCGGGTCAGGGGGCGTGCTTAGCAAAAAATAAACAAAAAGACGTACTGCTTACATTATATCACAGTACATGATGAGATAATCACTTTTACGGATTTCTGAAAAATCATACATCATTTCTGAAAGGGGAAAACTCTGGAAAGATACTTTAGCTGGGGGTCTGCTGATATTTGTGTGGGACCTGATGCTAAACTAGAAAGCTGCTGAAGAAACTCTGATGGGGACCAGTTGGAATCCTGCATCCGTGGAATGACTGACACAGCTAAGCCTCTGGAGCCTCTCCCTACAAGCTCCAGAGGAACAACCTTTAGGGTTAAAACCAACTTTAGGAGACGTCTCTCTGAAGCTAGCTCCACCCAGACATCACAGAAGGTTGCTGTTCTGGTCAGCAGGTGGCGCTACAGGCTCAGCATGAATACACCTGGGTTCAGTGTAATAAAACTCTGAGATGTTTGTGTTGTCGTCCAGAGCTGTACGAGATCTTCCTGTCCAGGGCCAAAGAGAAGTGGAGGAGTTACAGCGAGACGAGTTCAGTCAACGACAGCGAGAGCGGTACGCTTCATTTCTAAAGCTCTAATCTGCCGTTTCTACTCAGCGTTTCATCCTGAGCTCTGCTCTCTGCCGCCAGATGGAGGAGCTTCTCTGGCTGACAGAGAGTCCAGTCTGGACCTCATCAAGCTGGACATTTCCAGAACCTTCCCTTCCCTCTTCATCTTCCAGAAGGTAGCAAACCCACAGCAGGTGTCCGACCTGCAGCTGAGAACTCAGGTGTTGAAGCTGTGGGTGTTTTTTCTCTGCAGGGGGGTCCTTACCATGACCTGCTCCACAGTGTGCTGGGGGCCTACACCTGCTACCGCCCCGACATCGGATACGTGAGTCCACCTCCATCCAGCATCTTCAGGGATTAGCTTTAGTTCTGGATGCAGACAGAGGCTGAGCTAGGGCTGGACAATAATCAATAATGATGTACAGTGCTCAGCATAAATAAGTACACCCCCACTTTATTTGTCAGAAAACCTTTAGTTTCCTTTCAGAATCAACATTTTCTATGAGATACCAAACTACTCCCACAAATGTGGGCTGTTGAATCCAAACACAAACAAGTGATTTTCCTAACAAATCCATTCGAGCCCATGTTGCTAATATTAGTACACTCCTTTAATAGTCTTAGGAGAAAAGTCACACTTAACTCATTCACTAAAGTCGTCATTGGCATTTTTTTTACTGTGTGGGCATCGGAACGAGCCCCCGCACTGTGAGAACAAGCATCTCGGCTCTAAAGCCGATCTTCATCCGCGTACGTCACACGTCACGTGATCGGGAAGCAGAAAATCCATGTGTTAGGAGATCGTTTTGGGCTGTTCCTGTAAAAAAAAGTGAGGCGCGAACCGGAAAAGCTTCTGCCGATCACAATTCAACGACGGATTATGGAGGAACGGATAAAGCTCAAAACACGCGGATTCTTCCTGATGTAAGAGTTGAGTCTCCGCTTTGTTTTGGTTGTTTGGCGTCAACATCATCCTAGCGCACAACGTTCTGTGACTCTTAAAAAAACTGTAAAAACTGTGAGAAACGCTGACAGCGAAGGGCTTTACCGATCAGGAAACGTCTGTTAGTGTATGAGTTAAGACTACACAATTCTAATTAACAGGCATTCAACCACAGGTCAGTCTAATGATTCATTAAGAGGTGTCTATCAGACAGGTGGCTATAAAAGGGAATTACTTAACAAAGAAAAGCTCTTCCCATTTCATGCTGTCAGCAGTGGCTCCACATGGAAGAGAAATGTCACAAAATTCGAGAAAGGAAATAATTTCTTTACACAATAAAGGTGAGGGCTACAAGAAGATCAGCAAAGCTTTCCATATTAGTCAGAATACTGCAGCAAAAGTGATCCAAACATTTAAGAAAGATGGAAGTGCAACCATCTTACAGAGACATCCAGGAAGTCCACGGAAGTTAGCATCTCAGGAGCATCTTCTGATGAGAAGGGTTAGGGTCAGGGACACCATATGGCGCACACTGCAAAGGAATGGCATGCATGGGTATCGTCCATGAATGAAGGCTCTCCTAAAGCCCATGCACAAAAAAGCACATCTAGGATTAGCTAGGGCCCATGCTGAAAGAGATGAAGACTACTGGGACTCTAGACTCTGGAGTGATGAGACAAAGATCACTGTTTTTGGAATGAATGGTTTCAAAACAGTATGGCGTTGTACAGGTGAGGATTTCAAAGAGAAATGCATGGTGCCTACAGTGAAACATGGTGGCGGCGGTGTCCTTATGTGGGCTGCATAAGTGCTGCTGGTGTTGGGGAGCAGAACTTCATTGATGGTATCATGAACTCAACAATGTACTGCTCTATGCTGAAGGAGAAGATGCTGTCATCACTCTGTGCACTATTCCAACACGACAATGATCCAAAACACACATCTAAAGCTACGGTTTTATTTCTGAAGAAGAACAGGGTGAAGATGACCTAATGGCCAAGTATGTCTCCTGATCTGAACCCAATCCAACACCTGTGGGGAATTCTTAAGCAGCAAGTTGAGCATCACTCTCCATCCAGCATCCAGGCTCTAAAAGAGGTTCTTCTTGAAGAGTGGAAACACTGCAGCTTATATGTCGCCATCTTGCTCATTCCATAAATAGAAGACTTGGTGCTGTCCTTGAAAATCACAGTGGTCTTACAAAATACTAGATGTAATAGTTTTTGTTGTGGGTTGTGTTCATTTTGCTTTATCCAAATTAAGTAAAACTGAAGATTTTGTCCCCTTGGTTATATTATTAACCTTAATTTCATGTTAGGGAGTTAAACAAGTGTTCAATAAAACCCAGCCTTGTAAAATTTCTGGAAATTATTGTTTTGTTCATTGAGCTACTGATTAAATTCATACTTTTTAAAGGGAGGTGTACTCGTTTATGCTGAGCGCTGTATATCTATTGTAACGTGATGGAAGTGGTTACTTTTACTGAATGATCAATAAGATGTGATATTCCATTTAAGTATGAATTATCAATCTTATTGGTCTTTGAATATTTGATTTAATATGAACTTAGGTTCTTTGAACTGCCAGGGAAACACACACTTCATATTTATTCAGACAGTCAAGAAAATAGTTTATAAAAATTAATTTAATACTATATTTCTAAACCAATTAGGATACATGACAAATGATGAAAAGTGGTGTTTTAACAATGTTACTGAGGTAATAAATGAAATGATGGATGTAAGCTTAGATATTATGTAGCAAAACCTTGTTAAGTATCAGAAATTTGTAATGTCTGGGTTATAAAATCAGGTTTAACAAGCTATCAATTATTCATGAACCCATCCGACACCATTGTGCAGGTCTACAATACCCATGTTGGAAGCTCTGGGTGGTCCGGAGGAAAAGCAGCGAGGTTGGTGATGTCACTAGATGGAGTGGCTCCTGGAATCTCAAGGGTCGTAGTTCCCTTTGATTTCAGTTATCACCGGTCATAAGATAATACCAGGGTCTGCTAATAAGATGTTCCACGTCTGATGAGTTGTTGCGTCTGATCAGCTTGCAAGTGTTGCAAAGAGGCTTTGACCTTGCTTACTTCATTGGCCAAATCAGGAAGCTGGCTTAGAACTGGTTAGTTCAGGAAGTGAACACTAATTTATATAAACTGTTGTGTACAAATTTAGACAAGTCCGACTTTAACATAGAGTTTAAAGGGCATTACCAAAATACCTCAGACACCACTCGCTTCTCTAAACACTTAGGAAGGTTATTTCTTAATGTGAAGCAAAAATATGTTAACCATTAATAATAATATATTGATGTGGATCCAGATAAATGAACATTAAATTCAACAATTACTAATCTGGTGTCATTTAAGCTCTGAAATAAATCATTACTGGAAAATAATTCATTAATGTTGAGTATAGGACTCATTATTAAAACACTTTGGATTTAAACATGTTGTCCATTCAACAAAATACGATTATATAAACTTATAAAGTTATAAAGTCATTTATCAGCCAGGAGAGATAAACTTTATTCAAAGAGGATAGATGAGTAGTCCTGTGTCTTCTGCAGACTTGATGACTTGTGACGTACCACATGATAAGTTAAGAATATCGGGGCAAGTTCATAGACTTCATATCAGCACCATGACGCCAGATTGACTTGTATGAAGAAGTTAATTTTTGGTTAAATTGATTAAATACTTTGCCATTTGATATGCTACACTATCAATAATCGTGTGGTGTGATGGTCAATTAAGACTTAAATAAAAAGTTTCCC